AAACATTTCCCAAAGCATAGCGCAGGTCTCTGATTATACCTTCCAGACAGCACAAGGACAATTACCCAGTTACATGATCATGTTGTATTGCTGTGGCTGCAGGGATCATTTCTAAACAAAAATAGCTTCCCATAAGCCCCTCGACACGCCAACAAAGAGTGTTTTCTAAACAGTTAATTATTTGCCTAATAAAAAATAAAAACAGGAAAAAGGCAGCTATATGTTCACTGTGATGGTTTATATCAGCAAGTTGATCTTAATGTTGTACTGCCATGAACTGAAACCAAGGCTGCACTGAAGGTAGATGATGTTAGGTGATGTTAAAAGTATAATCCATTTGTTATTAATGTGCCTAGACAAAGTCTTCATTATGGTCCTTTAATCTGTTCATGTGGCTCAATAAGAAACCTGAAGGGAGTTTGTCCTCACTGTGGTTACATGCACACTAGATATCAAACCTAAACACATCCGAGTAAAGAAAATAATAATAATAATGAGGTATGATAAAGTATAACTCCGGGGTCCACAGTTTGTAGGATGAGGGTTAAAGCATCTTCGTCTTTTTCCGTTGATGCAGCAACGTGCCGGAGGATTTAGGAAACGGCTCCCTGAGTTACCCGAGTAGTAACTTTTTTTTTAAATTGTCTAATCAACCAAAAAATTCGCGGACCCCCTGCAGTACCTCCGCGGACCCCCTGTTGAAGACCCCTGCTCTAGAGCTTCACCACGTCTTCAGTTTCAAACAGCTCAGACAAAAACACCTGACCCCACGCACCCCACGATCTCCTTTACTCACACAAGCTGCTTCGTGAACAACATTCTCCAACTGCTGCATGGAAATGAAATGCATTCAAAACAAGCGCTGCTTTTAAATATCTACATTGATGCACTTTGACTCGCTGATGTGCTGTTCATGCTTAATTGACTGTGTGTGTATAACGGACTGCTGAAGTGTATAATGCGTTTGTGACCACTGCAGCTCTACACATGCCAACTAAGCAGATGCATCATTCAAAGCAGGAATCCGTGCTCGTGGTTCAGACATAGCTGACAGCGGTTGTTTATCACAGCAAATTTGCGGAAAATGTCTCTAGAGGTAATTTAGTAAGTGTTGTTATTACAGTTTGTCAAACACAGTGGTTTCAAACGCTGTGCACCGTATGTGAGGTGACAGACAGTGTATCACGGCTGCAGGCTGTGAGGCTAATTGTTCCAACACTTTTGTTATCTGAAATGTAAAAAAAAAAAAAAAAAAAAATCCATTATAAGTAAATGTCGGGAATTTAAAATGTTAAATATAAAAGTACAGATTTATTATGGCGTCAGCACAATTTGCTGGTTAGCGTGAGCATGAAGACTCGAAGCGCTTCCAGATCTTTATGCTACAATACCAAACTACTAAATATAGATAGCTTTAATTAAATGTTATACTGGTGTTGTAAAAAGTACAATATATCTGCCTCTGAAATGTAGTGAAGCTGAAGTATAAAGTAGCATCAGATAGAAAAACTGTACAGTAAAACATGCCACTGTTGGTGGAGACAAATACGGTTATGTAGTGGTACATTTACATCTAAGGGCATCGGACAGGGAAAACAAATTGTAGACCGTGTCTAAATATAACTCAATTTTAACTTTTATTCCAGAGAGAGCAAGATCCGATCCCAGATGTGTAGAGACATGACACATGAAAAAAATAGTTATAAATATTATATTCCATTTCTGCTCATAGATCCCCCTCCCACAGTGACTTTAAGTAAACACTCCAGTACCATTTAGTTTCTATTTACTGTATTGTGTCAGCTGAGGAGATAAACACACATTTCTTCAGTTGAAAATGATGCGAGTTGCTGCTGCTGTTGAAAGAGAGAGCTGTGATTTGTACATTCCTCGGTGAATGGCAGAGTGAGCATCATTCTTCCTAATAGAGTCTGTGTATCTGTACGTGTGTGTGTGTGTGTGTGTGTGTGGGGGGGGGGGGGGTTAGCTTGTTCATATTCCAGTCATGTGTGAGTCACCTTGCAGCCGAGGCTCTTCAACACAATGAATGGCTCTCCATCCCCCTCCCCCTGCCTGCCCTTAACTTTCTTTGAATTATTACTGTGATAATTGTCAGCTTCCAGCCCACAGCACCAGTGAGGTGAGTTTCAGGTTTTATTATTATTACTGTGCAGATTTGGCCCTTATGAGAGAAAAAAAAAACAGATCTATGAGGTGATATGTACGCTGGTCAGACACACACATGCAAAATATAGAGCCTCCCTGTCTTTTTTTCTCACTCACACACACACACACACACACACACACACACACACACACACACACACACACACACACGGTGCCAGATAGAACCGAGACTGAAATAGAAAAGAGGGTAAAAAGGAAAAGGAGGATATTTCAGAGCAAAAGCAGAGAACAACCCTATGGGCACAAACACACACCAACATACACACACACACACACTGCAAAACACATCAGAGGCACGAGGTTGAATGTGGACGCTGACCAAGTTTTGTTACTGTCTTGTATTTATTTTTTCCATCGCTCTATTCTAAAAATGTCACAACAAAAGTTGACAATAGTCGCATTAGTTGGTTTGGATTTTGAGAGCTACAATGTGATCAGTGTGTCTCAGCGTGTGTATGAGAGTATTTTTAGTATGTCTGAAACCTTGAATACTATGGAGGCAGAAATATCCCACAATGCAATGCGGTAGCGATAACGATGTTCACAACTGACAATGGCCGAAAGGTGTGTAGCGTCAATAACGCCTCAATGTAAGTGTAGGATTCCACTTTGCGAGGCTTAATCAATTTTTTTAAATTGGTTCAGCAGTTCAGTGTGTACGAAAACATACATACTACCGTTTATTCACACAAAAGTACGCTGAACGATAGTAAATATATTGAGTATGTAGGTTCGCAGTTTCGGACGCAGATGATAGATGGCCCTATTCAGCCGTTTCCCCAGGCTGAATAGTAATAAACTGACCGTCGTGTCTAAAATGGGTGGAGTGCACCTTTAATTGTACTCTGACTTCCTCATTTTTTGATGATTTTGACGTTTGAGGCGTCATGCTCATGTGTTCACACTGTCCAGTAAACGTCCAGAGAACATGAAAGGTTAAACTGAGAGTAAAGTAAGCACCTGAGATATATGTGTAGGCCCGTCAAGGGCTTCATGAATAGTCAGCACAAGTCACTTGAATGATTTCCATTCATGATGAGACACAGCAGGCATGACGGGCTGACAGCAGTGTCAACCATAAAACGAACGACACATACGGTAACTACGAAAGAATGCATGGGATAAAGTCTCCGATCTCCATTAGACTCCAATTGCTTTTATCTGCCATCTCAGCAGAACGAGCGTCCGCATTAACCGAGAGATGTGACTCGGAGAACAAAATTCCAGGAGGACAAGCGTCAAGATGACGTCATCTGTCCTCCACATCATTTCACTGACGTTGGACAGGTGATTGGTCCACTCACAGCCGCTGGTTACATCACAACGCCTCTCACGGTTGGCAAGCTGTGCAGTCTCAGCCAGTTCCACATGAATCACTCAGCCATCACGGCACTATATCACATACAGGTCAGCCATGCAGCATTACTCCATGTGATTCAACAGATTCTCACATAATGGAGGGAAGCTGTGAAGTGAAAGAGCTGGCGGGGGTTTCATGTTAGTAACACCCCGATGACCCCGTTTCACAACGACTTTTTTTCTGTTGCATTTATTTAAAGATGATCTTGATACGAGGAAGAAAGCTTACAGAAAAGATGCAGTAACAGCAACACTGCAGCCTTCACTTCAGTGTACGTTTACTCACCCAAAACATCAGAGCCGCTGCCTTCATCGCTTCTGCTTTAGACCTCCTGAATGTCAGGAGAAGAAAGGTCATTATTGTTATTATTGTTATCATTTCTGTCAACTTGTCTCCTATCATTTAAATTTTTAGATGTAAAACAGCTGTATGGATAAAAAACAGAAACTCACTCACCTATCTGCCTCCCGATGCACGAGGAGTCATGACATTGCCTGCAGACGACGCACCGCACCCCGGATCATTAACTCACCTCTTCTCAGCAAATGATGACTTCTGTCTGCGGCGCTTCATGTGAATTCCTGTGAAAACCAATTACCTGCAGGGAAGATAAGAAGCTGACAAGTCCTTCGTGAGATTGTCCGCACCCCGACGTGTGCAACAAAGACAACAAGAGAGGGAGGGAGGTGTCAATCAAGGAGAGGTCTAATCAGGCAAAGTGAAATCAACTGTGTGTAAAAAAAAAACCACCTTGGAGGAGGTGGAATGACGTCCCTCCGTTACTATCTACTGACCTACTTAAACAGTCAGCCTAATGAACCAGCACGAGATCCACAGATAGAAATGTCAAACTCATCCCTCTGAGCTTCTCTTTGCAAAGCTGTCAGTTAAACCAGTTCACTTCCTGCAGATTATGTTTCAGATTAAAAGGGAAAACCTGGAGGAAGTGAAGAGTTGGCATTAGAAATAAAAGACTAGTATAATAAGCATGTTCCTCTCTTCCATCGAGGTAAATCATCTTTGACAATGTATAGTAATAGGAGACGGAGTCTTGAGGGGATGGAGACCCTTTACATCTGTATATCTAGGCGTAAACATTGCTTTACAATTAAACTACTGTATACTGTCTTGTTAGGATCCACCTTCACGTATTTGCATTCAACCCACATTTTTTAGGATAATACTTGGTTTTTTAAATACTGCCTGATGAATTTACCGCCTGCCATTTCCCCCCAAATGAACGCCACATCCAGGAAACAAATGGTCGCACAAAAATCTTCAATAACAGTTCTTACAAATCCTAATGACACGTTAGAAGATGTACGAGGCCAACGGCAACCTTAAAATAATCTCTGTCTCGGTGAAAACATACTCCAGGTACTTAACACAATCTGTGAACAACATGGACCTTCCTGTACACCCAGACTGAAATCAGGAGACCAAGAGAGGGATATTGGTTTTGAATCTCATATCCTGTTTTATTGTTCAAATATGGCAGAACAAGATATACAACACGGTACAATAACACACCCACGCGGCCAGACGTACACACGGACGAATGGAAAGACCAACAGAAAAGACAAATTTGTACAGATGTGCGAAGACACACACACACACACACACACACACACCTGTGAGTGTTCATGAGAACCACTGATCAAACATCCCACACGTACACGTACACACACACACACACACACTCTCAGAGACAGACCATACAGGCCAACAGGACAATTTGTGTATTAAAGGGGAGTTTAAGGAGATTAAGGATCCGGTGACAATAAAAGATCAGAAGAGAAACGATCACAGTCCACCGTGAGACAGAATTCACCCGTTATTGACGTTTCAATGAGCCCACAGTGACAGGACTTAAGTGGATTTCACAGAGACGAGGGCACGTTTTCCAGCTCGCACTAGAAGGAAATATACTTCACATCACATGGCGGAAAATCCGAGCTGGTTTCTCAGGAATTTATTTTAAAACAAAACTTACATGAATTGTGTTTCATGGTGGACGATATTTTGACATTTAACTCAAGAATCAAACTCTTTAGCCACAGGTTTACATTTAGAGACTTCGGCGAATCTCACAGCAAAACGAGCCATCGTCACCCAATCACCCTACACCGGCTTAAAAAATAGCTATGTTATGCTAGTTACGCGCTGTCACCTTAAGCACTTACAGAAAAATCAACTTGTTTTTTTCGTGACTTAAGGCCACTTTGAACAGAGGTGATTTGATTTACCTGCTCTTTAAAAAGTGAAAGCAAAGACAATTAAAAAAAAAAAGCAAATTCATCAGTGCTTTTACCACCTCAAACAATGCTCTTTTTCCTCATTTAAAAATCAAATATCTTTTCATTCATTTCTTTAGGAGGGACAGCAACACATTATAAATAATAGTTAGAAAGGATAAAATAACATATTTAACGTCAGAGAGTAAACCAATCGCTTGTATCACAGCTGGATCATCATCAACATCTTGCCGTCAGCTGAAAACCTCAAAAAATTATTCAGACAATCTTCCTTAATTTCACGCCCGTGTGTTTCTCAGTGGGTTTTATGAGCTCTGGGGTCGAACGCAGAGCACAAAATGCCAATTTAATTAAGTTTAACAAAAAAAAAAAATGGATGGAAGACACTGAAATCAAGAGCCGGAGGGTTTTCAGCTGACAGCAGCAATTTTCTGAGTTAACCTCCCCAACATCTGAAGAACTTGCTCAGCTGTAATTGCTGTTAGATGTACAGTACTACAAAATAAAAGCTCCTCAGATCAGCATGAGTAGTCCCAATGAACACTGAGCCTCAAACAGCAACACCGAACAATTTATAAATTAATTTAACACAAAATAGGTCATCTGTGCATGTCGCTGCTGCCTCAAATTAATTTCACGGAACAAAATCGAAAATATAGTATGTCAACAAAAATCTATTTCCTTTATAAATGATCAGGCAGGAAGCAGCAGGCGTTATGGAATTAATGCCTGTGCGTAATAGTAGTAATAATAGCCTGTCACATAGTTTTCATTGAGACAAGTAATCAGGTCTTTAATGGAGGTTTTGGGATTAATGGATTGGAAGATGCTTTCGTGGCAACTTGTAGTGTTTTGTTGGAGTGTTATTTTATCATATCTCCAAATCATTCTTTGTAAAGTTAGTGCTATTAGCGGAGATAAGTTAAAGTGACAGAGGGATAGCAGTCTGTATGCTCCCATAGTGTTTGTGGACCAACAGAGTCCAGCTTAGTTTCTTTTTTGACAAAATGTATTCCCACAGAATTGATAACGGAGAATAAAGACAAAGATGGGGTGTGGTATGCAGACAGTTTAAGTAAATGCTGGAAGTTTAAAGTTTGCTGAAACTGAATGGAAAGAGCTTTGAACCCAGACTCGTCCAACATCTCATACTGAAGTCACAACACAGTCATACCAGCCCCCTCAACCACAAAGAAGAGCAGATGTGTAATCTCTTGTAAATGAAGACAGCATTTTTTAAGAGAAAATAAAGGAAAAGAAAATTATTTTCTTCACCTGAAACAATAACATTAAGAAGAAGGAAGTGTTTTTTAAGGTTTTTGAGTCCCATGTTAAGTGCAGGTGATGCTCAAACCAAAACGGTCTACAAAGGATGATTGGTCTTATTCTAACAGGGCAGTTAGTGAGAGGCAGGTCAAAGTGAACCCGACATGTGCGTCTCTGGAGGAGTGCTTCACGTAGGTTTTCTGGGTCTGATGTGCAAACGCAGACCGACAGCTGAGTGACGATCGAGGAGACCATGTCCTTGCTGTTAGACGTAGTGAGTTAACTAACAGTCTTAGCTGGCCGGCCTGTTGGGATGTTCACCTGAACTCAAGCTACATCTATTTAAATAGCATTGTGTCAAGCTAGGTCAGTTGGGCAGGTAGCTGGCATGACTGGCTAGCCGTTGTAGTTGGCTAGCTGGGTTAGCTAGTCAGCACACTGGGCTGACTGGTTGGCTGGTTCAGGCTTTGAGCCCAGGGACTACTGACCCGTCTCCTGGTTAGCCAGGCCGGGCTGATGTTTTCTGGGCGGCTGGTTTGTCAGTCTCTGTACCTCAGTCCAATGATGTCACTTCCTGTTGTCTGTAGTGGAGTTAGCTGTAGTGTCCGTCTTTGCTGCAGTTTCCTCAGTGTTTCCCGGGGGCTGCGGGGCAGTGGCATTAGGCCCACCCCCATTTTGGAGAGTTTCTTGTTTGAACTGTTGCAAGGCTCGATTGACAGCATCCTCGACCAATCGCCTGCTCACCTTCAGTAGCTCCGCCTCGTCGGGCTCAGACCGGCGACGCCCACCTGGGTTGAACAAGCACAATAGAATGATATTATCATAATCATTCACAAGAACACATGATCATTCAGCTGGACACCCGACGAATGTAAGTCCATCTTTTAGCTCTGTTTTTGGTCACCACCAACATCTGGGGGATATATCCAGCTCTTTAGCTGCTAAACGTTCCACTACGTTCACAAGCTAGTGGCTAACTTTTGTCTGTCTGCTGTTTGGTGCTGGACAGGTAGCGTACAGTTGGTTTAACAGAACTATTCTCCTCAAAAGACGAACCAAAAAGGTAAAGTTGAAGGCCACAAAACCAAAACAATGAGCTGCAAGACACTAAAACATTCAGAGGAGCGGAGTTGAGTTCTTTGTGGGTTGATCACTACAAGCAACATCCGTCATACTACTCAATTGTTCCCCATTGTTAATATACAAATTGGTTAGTTCAGCTTTGTAATAAATCAAGTAACACGCCTCTTGAAAAGAACTCTGGGAATCAAATCCAATCCAATATACAATAATACAAACAATAATGTCAATTTGGAATTTGAAACCCACATCAAACTGTGGATTTCCCACCGTGTTTACGCCACAAACTGAGGGTCTACTCCACTATATGTCACATCTAAACTAGATTTTATTCAGAAGCTTTACTAAAGTGACTTTTAAAGCCATGAACTCCCCAATGAATGATTGTAACAGTAAGCCCCCCGTGGCTGATTTCATTGTTATTCCAGTATGTTGAAAATGAAAATAACTATTAACCTGACAATGATAAATGAGTCTGCACTCAGTCATCATAGACTGAATGCAGCAACAAGAGATTGATGTGACAAGTAGAGTTGATAATACCATCTCTCAGCTCTGCTATATATGCAGTTTGGATTTAATCAACCTCCCGGAGTGAAACTCTTTAACACAGATAAAATTAACACAGTGAGAAAGAAGAGGAGTCAGACGAACATAAAGCCTGTTAGGAAAAAAAGTGAGACAGGCAGACAGTCAATAAACCATGTAGACAGACAGGCGGGCTGTAAGAGTGACAGGCTGCATTAAGCAGCCATTCAGAAAGAGAGTAATAGAGAATCACTCAACCATCCAGTCTGCCAGACACACACACACACACACACACACCACTGCAGTGGTTCAAAAACACACTATAACCACCATTTGATTACCAAGGCCAAGAGCTGGGCCCACAGGCGTGGTAACATTTGAAAGCAGTTTTTTTTGCTTATTATTCATCATACAGTTGGAATGATGCAGCGAATGACGAGGTCAGAATTATACTCGTGAAGTGTAAATGCATATTTTTTTTGACTGTACAACGGCGGTGTTCTCTAAATTCAAAAACAATCTTCGGCTGAGTAAAGACACTACTTCTACCACCGGCGAGGTTTGTCATTTTAAGCAGTGAAAGCAACAGTGGTATGATCATTATTAATTCAGAATGCATTTCTTTCATCAAATATCGTCCTCTGGGGAACAACCCGTCGCTGTTTATTCCTTTCGCTCTCTCTAAACAGGATTCACTTGATGAGTGTTTGGCCCTTTAAGACCACAGATGCTTCCAGTGCATTTGCGCCTTTAGACACAAAGTGTCATTAACATTTTGGCAAATGGTCTCATAAATCCCATACCCATAGTTATTAAATATGACAAGTTGCAGCTCAGCTTTGGTGTATTCTCCGTTTATGTAGTAGTATTGGTGAAATGCACCAGCTACTATACGTGACATATCTGACCAGAATGACTTGTATGAGGTTGTGCACATGCTCTGCTGTGGATATTTTATTCACCCTCCTTTTTATCCTCCAGATCTTCTGCTCGGTTGAGATCGACTTTACAGGCCAGGAACACATGCCTGTCACTGTTACCGCAGTATTTCACCATCACTAACAGCTACTATTGACACATGCATTATGTATCCATGGATTTGTGTTATTCAGGCCAAATATTCAGCCTGCGTATGGCATGCCAAACAGAAAGCAGGATTCATCACATCGGCCAGCATGTGAACACTCTTCACTCATCTAATTACGGTCACCATGTGCTCCCATCAGCTTCCCGTTGTTATTTTTTCTGCTGAATTGATTTGACCCTAACGTGGTGTAAAGTACATCCAATTCATGGTATTGAGTTGTGCTTTTCAGAGAAGCACTGCTGCTGTAGCACTGAGATGCCATTAGATTGCCTGCGGACTGCCCGTCGGTTTGAGTGACTCGCACCTCTGACCGCTGTTTGATACGATAGCTTTGCCCTCAGGTCTGCAGCAGACTGACTTCATTCTAAAATCGGCCTTTCTTATCGAACCGTACACACTAGTATGTGGAAATCCTTAGAGGTTGTCGATTTCCAATTAATCCGAGTCAACTGAAACGAGTGTTTCTGGCACTATCGGACCGTTTCAGCATTAACGTGTGCTTCTCCTTGTCAAAATAGGACATCTAGACACAGATTGCAGGTTAATGCCAAGTGTAAATGGAGTATATGTGACCCGGACATAATTAGGGTTTTTTTAAAACCGTTCTTCCTGATGTTGCACGCACAGCCACAAACCTCGGCAAGAGGGTTGTGGGGGGTGTAGCCCCGGCACACACCTGTCATTATTTGAAAAAAAATTGTCGGGAGGACTAATTGCGGTCATCATTTATGATTGGCTCCACAGGACCATTTTCTTTCATCTTCTAGAGAACCTGATTTTGATGTTGCTTCATCTGCTTTCCAGCGGGGGGTAATTTGAAGGTCCACTATTAAAAACATACATCAAGATCTGTGGTGTGGAGTCTCCTTGTTCCATCTGCGAAACCTACATTTCTAAATAAACCCATTGTACTGAACCCAGGGTTTATGAATTAAACAGAACCAAAGTACGTTCTGGGGCTTTATATGGTTTCATATTGCAATATACTACAAAGGCTTTCTCATGAGGGAGATGTAGATTGGTCCATGCCACAAACTAAAGTGTCTGAGTGCACGGGTAACTCCCAGCAAGATGAAAGCACAGCAGTATTTGCACAAACTGAAGTCCAGTGATCAACCCTGTTTGCATGATTCGTACTTTATTGACACATAACTCATCGTGTGCTGGAGGAAGTTATTTAAAGCATTAAGGGTTGGATGTTCTTTGTATGCAAATACTCAAAACATGTGAAAGGCAAATATCAGCAAGTGAAGCTGTTGCATTCAAAATGTTTAGAGCTGTAAACACGAGCTCATGTGTACAATCTGTTATTGACGTGGAAATAATGTGATACTGTATTGATCGCTGAAAGAAGATCCTTGTTTTTGTCCCCTTTGAGTCCTTCTACAGCAGTGTGTGTGTGTGTGTGTGTGTGGGGGGATGGTTAATGGACAGTCTTCTCAATCACTTCCTGTCCTGTTTCCGTAACCGGACGCCCCCCTTTTGCGTGGATCACTTAGGTTAACTGAATTTAAACTGATGAGCGTGCTGATTATAGACGAGAAATATAACATCAGCTGAAAGCGAATGCTGGCAGATGCGTGTTGTTTTTTTTTACTTTATAAAACACGTTATTGAGCAACACACCAGATGTGATGCAATTTCCCCCAATATGAGACTGATGATGACTCATTATCATTTCTAGAGAGTTTGATTAAACATGCTTCCCGTGATCATTTGGAGGGTCTCTTGTAATCAATGTAATCACGGTAATCCAGAGGTTGCTGAAATAATCACATCAGTAATCATCCTGAATTATATTCTTTGATGATCTGAGCGATTTCATGAATTTATGCAATTTTTGTGTGTAATCAGATTTAGATCAGGATTTAATTGGAGCGTGTGATATGAGGACGGACACATACTTAACCGTTTGGCTTGGAGAGGGTTCAAATCTGCAACACAAACATCACATATTAGATAAAGACATACGATATTTCGCTGTCTCGTGGATTTCATACACTCAGTACAGAACCTCTCTTTGTCTGTTAACACGAGGGAGATACTTTAGTGCTAGCCAGCCAGCAGGGGGTTTTCAACATTCGTTTCGGAGCCCCAGGTCACATGAGGACCAAAATGGACGCACAAATATTCTGAACAAATGTTGTTATCCAAGTCCACAGGCTGTCACACCGCCAAAAGCTGCAAGACTCTGGAGTGTATAAATAGAGTGCAGGTGTGCACTCTATGGGGCCGAGTACACGGCAGACACAAGAGCATAATCTATTACACAAGTCTGCGTTTTGAAAAAGTTACTTAGTGCGGTGAAAGAACGGTCGGGTGCCAGAACTGTTTTATTCCAAAAGGTGGAACAAACGTCTGAATGTGTTTCAGATGAGGCAACGCTTCAGAACATGAACTGCTGGCTGATTTTAAGATGGAAAGATCAATGACGTACAAGGACCATATCCCTCATTTCATCTCCTCTCTCCTATTCAGATATGATATACTGTATATAATATAATACAGTATCATCATGTCATTTTGACCCAATATCAACAGACTTCTGCATGCGTGTCAAAGGTCTGCTCTGTGTCCTTACCTTTTAAAGGGGTGTGTGTTTCTGAGAATGAGTTTTCTATCCGCTTATTCCATGTTGGCCTTTATGATTGCAGTAAAGCTGCCCTCTGTACCCCACACACACACACACACACACACACACACACACACACACACACACACACACACACACACTTTTTCTGTATCTTCTACTCCCTCTTCATCGTTCATACTCCATTTGTACAACTGCCTCTTTACTTTTACTAACCACTCTCTCTCTACTTTATTTTTTTACTGGCAGTGTTGTCATGGTGACGGGATAAGAACCAGACAGGCACTTCAACTTTTAACGACACCAGAGGTTGTTCTGACTAACATCCATATTTTTTCGGGCAGGTTTCACTACCTCTTGTGCTTCTGTGTGCTCTTCTCTCGCACCGGTTTGACTTTCTTCTTGGCCCTGCAGCCTCTCTCTCTCTATCAGGCTCATCGTTACCATCTTTATTGACCGGTGAGGCTCAAGACCGGTTTTCAAATATCACTTTTGATTTCTCTCCGTGGGCGGATCTCTGTTCCCCTCTGAAAGCTGTAGCTGTGTCTTTGGCGTAAGAAAAGAAAAGGCAACAAAAGAAACGGTGGAACAAAAGTGTACGCTGTGCACGCTGAAAACCTTCAGCATTCATGTTTATGAGTAGCTGGAGTAGTGCTGGGAAATATGGAAAAAATATTACAGTATTTATGACCAAATACCTCAATTGACCATTGGTGCTCTTACAAAATATTTTCACAATGAGATTTGGGTAATGAAGCCTTAAAAACCAGGAGAAGACAACACTTAAGCCCTATTTTTATACTGAACATCTACGGCGTTCTCATGTCACAATATCAATATAATATCGATATATCGCCAGTCACTAAATTTGAGATTTCAATTAATGTCAGAAAGAGATTTTAAAGGTGCAGGATTATAGTATGCACTCCTTTCTTTCTTAGTATGCATTGAAGTCGGGCTCTGCCTCTTTCACTCCGGGGGTAATTCATACATCGCCCATATGGTGCCCAACCAAGCCAATTAGTAGAATCTGGTTAAACCTATTGTGGAAATGAGATCAGTCCCGGATATGCCGTCTTCTGTCCAACAATAGCACGATTGTGTTTTAAATACCGTCTCTTGCAGCAACTAACGATCACTGTCTTTATTGTGCAATCTACAGCTTATTTCCTTGAATTATCAATTGTTTTTTTGGTTTGTGGCATGGACCAAAATGTCACAAAATGTGTCAAAAAAGTCCATCACCATTTCTTCAGAAGTCACGGTGTCTTCAATTGTTTGTTTTGTCCAACTAAGACTCTATGCACCAAAGACATTCAATTTACGATGATATTAAACAGAACAAAGAACCTGATGGTTCACAATTAAGTAGCATGCTGATATTAGCATTTAGCTCATCCACCAGAGCTGTGGACTTATTTTCTCCTTCCACTTTGTTCCTTTTGTTCCCCCCCTTGCTTCCTCTGTCTTTGTCTCTGGGCTTGTAGTCGCTCAGACGGCCAAAAAAGGTTGTAAATGTTGTCGGTGTACAGAAGCTGTATTTGGGAACATGATTGTTCTGTCAGCGAGCAGCGAGACTGTACAACATTAAGCGACAACTACTGAGTGTGTGCCTTGTTATTTTATTTCATTCCCAGCGGCACCGCTCTGCTTTACTCGGCTCTCTTCTCCCGAGCGCCGCTCCGCAGTGATTAATATCGTGCTATGTAAGAACCTTTTAACATCATTACTTCAAACTCCCTTACGCACGTATTTGTCTTTCTCCAGGTAACTAATAGAGTCCACATCCTGGTTGGAGCAGAGCCGACATTCTGCTGAAGTGTGCCAAAAATCTTAACCAGCCGCTTTCAATACTTTGTACTGTGATGGTGGGAGCACTTTAAAATGTTCGGTTCCAGCTGAGGTAACTCCTCTGCGGATGCCGCGCAAGCACTTCACATCTACATGCAGTATCAAAAGGAGCCATAATAATCCCATTAAAGACTTTAATCAAAGTCAGTGGACACAGCAGCCTAACTGGTTATGTTTACATCCAGCCTAATAATCTGCTGCTATGACTCATTTCCTCTCGCTCTAAAATGAACTGATTCCCTTAAAACTCTATCGCAACGTATCTGGGAAGAGGACCATAAGGGCAGATGAAGAGGAGGAGAAGAATCTGGAGCAAAGAGGAGGAGATGGACTACACTACAGTATGTGATGTGAGGAAGAGGAAGGCGTCTGTGCACAACATGGAGATCTCTTTAATGGAGGCTGGACGCAGAGATGGAAAATTAATAAAAAAAATAGGAGAGTGTTTTTGAGGACAGAGAGGGAGGGCTGATGAGGAGAAGAAATGGGGGAAGGACAGGCCTTGGAAAAAAGTTAAAGAAAAGGACAGTGGGGTATGTAGAGGGGGGGGGTGTGTAAAGAGTACTGATGGTGAAGTAGTTTCCTGAGGAAATACCAGAGACTCTCTCAGTCACGAGATACAGACTGAATATAAATGGGTTGAGCTGGGCTGCACACTGTATACATGTAGATGGCTCATATTCAGGTTACAGGGTGACTAAGGGAGAGCTCTTTATGAATTATTACTCAAGAAACCAACCTCATGGAGATAAGGAAAACAGATGAGCACATCCCTGAATGCCAGGAAGGCTACTTTGGGTTCATCAGAGAAATATGTGCCGTTTCAAAGCAAACACAGATGCACCTAAATGCCAAACGACGTCAGGATATTGTTGCGCTAACAAGTAACCTTAATGGAGAATAATCCAGTTAATTAAACATTTGGCTAGAGGTAGGAAGTCAGATCAATAAACCTGAACTGAACCTGAGTAGCCGATGCTGCAGCTCTGTAATCCACTCATTTTTCTACAACGTTCCCTAAAACTTGGCGTGATGAGTCTGCATTACAACAGACTAAAATAATTGCATTTCTGACAATCTCTTCTTTGTGCCAGAACAATGGCACTCTGGGTGTCGGTGCCCAGAAGTGTGCGAGTCTGTTCCTCTTCACCAGCGCAGTGATCGACAATTTCACGGCTGATGTATTCCTCACTCGAGACGAACACCATCAAAGCTCTTCATGATATTTCACACGAAGCCTTCGTCCCTCCTCACAGCTTCATCGTCCCCATCGAATGACTATGAAGGGTGATGAGCTACCTGATATCACACTGACACAGAACAGAGGAAGTGGATTTGGCAATAATCAGCATTTCTGGTTGAATCAGTCTTTCTGACCTGAACAAGATTTGCTAATTGGTACAAAACACGAAGTGCAGCTGAGGCTGATGGGAATGTCCCGAGTTTTGCAAAGAATTTGGCTGTAAACAAAAGTATTCGAGAAATAAAGTATGAAAAGGATTCATCCTCCGGGGACCATGAATGTGTGTACACAACATCAAAGCATCTAATAGATGTTGAGATATTTCTGGACCACAGCGGTGGACGGATCGAACCAACTTTGCCATCCCTCCAGCCATGCAGATAAAATGGCTTTTAATTCACTAAAAAAACAAAGTGTGGCACTGGCTCTCTTACCATCAGAGGTGTGAAAGTGGACGCAGTAAAGCTGTGCAGCTGGACAGGTGTGTAGCCTGTGGACGCTGATTGACACGTAGATCAAAGAAAACAGCTCGACCTTTCTAGTGTGAACTAAAAACACACTCGGCTTTGATTTGACATCTTCCGCTCCTCTTGAGTCACAACCTAGTCTGTTAGATAACTTACAGGAGCATAACAAGGCATGACTGGGCTCTATCAGCCCCGCTGTGACTAGATGTGATGGTGTGGTTTCTGTCGGGGATTTACTGGGTTTTTTCATCTTTTAAATCATTTCACAAAATAAAGCAACACATGGAATCACATGCCTCTCCCTCTTAGCATCGCCCCCCCGTGTCCACGCCTCGTCTCAGGCACCAAACTGGTTTATTATTACTTAAAAAACATAAATGCTACCTACTGCAGCTTTATCACGTGCTGGATATCTGTATAAAAGAGCTCTGGCTGTGTCCGGCCTCATTCTGAAACATGTCAAGCAGAGACACTGGCTGCGACCGAGTCCGACCTCGGCACAATCAAACAGTCGGGAGACGAAGCATTGAAGATGTCACTTATTGATTCGACCTTTAAAAGAAAAAGAAGACACCAAGCTGCTTCCATTTGTCTCAGCACAACAAAACCTGAGTCCCTTATTCCCCCCGGACACCCTTCAAGGCATTAGCGGCGTAATTTAAACCCAGCTGTGGCTCCCCTCCTCCGTTTTCAGGACCCGACAGCCGCATTCAGGTTTGGCCTTTTTCTGCTGAGAGACCCAGCTCACTGAGCTCTAGCTGGCTGTCAGACTCAAAGAATGTG